ATAAAAATAATCAAATTGACATTGTTTTGATTGGAAAATTTCACTTTTAATTTGCATTTAAAATAATTCAATGAACATAATTGCTATTAACAATCTTATTATTTTACATGTTCTGTCCGATATAAAACTAATCAAATGCCGCTTTTAATAGAATTATTTAATACAAAAAATATTTTATTCATCGTAATTTTATTTGGTCCGTAATTTTATCAACGTTAAGGTAGTATTTACTGTTCCGACCCTATTTGTATATTTGTATACCACCTAAAGGCTTTCACACATAAAATCCCGTAAGATCGTAAGACGTAAGCGTAAGAAAATCGACCAATCCCAATTGAGTGGAGGGGTTACGGACAACCTAATACTAAATTGGGATTGGTCGATTTTCTTACGCTTACGTCTTACGGTCTTACGGGATTTTATGTGTGAAGGCATTAATGGCCCCACGTAACGGTCTTCGGCCTTTCTTCCACACTACTTCTCTACTGTACGTATATCTCTACACAAAGAAATTCGAATCCTGTCTGAACTTGTTCTTTAACAAAGGCAGTGAGCGATCACTTCAACGTGAGCTAGTGACGGCGTCAGTTGATATTTGATTGTGAGTTCAGTAAAGATTGCAAGAAGCGATTTTTTTTAAGTGTATCTGCGAAATTTGTGATAAAAATGGAAAAGATGGAAGAAGATGCAGGACCTTCGACCAGTCAAGAACTTTCGGATATCGAAGAAAGATCATTTTTGAACGAAAATTTCAAAGGAGAGTTTACGAACGCCCTTCTTATTGCCAAATCTATTTACGAAGAACGAAATTTGTTAACAAATAAGCCTCCTGAAAAAATCAGTTCCGTTTCTTTGGCTATGGCAGAAGAAATAAGTAAGGCAACAATAAATGTGTTAAATGAGCACATTGTTATTGTAGACGAAGAATTAATTTTGTTCGATGAAAGTGATGACGAAGGAAATTTTAAGGAGGTATGTATAATTGTTCTTTTGTTGCAATAATTTTTAATCAATTTGTTGATAATTGTAAAAAAATGTAAAAAAAATTTCTCCCCAGTGTACTGATAATCCAACGCTCGATCCTGATTATATTCCAGAAGATTATAAAGAATCTTGCGAATATATTTCATTGGAATAAAAAGAAAAAGTTGTAGCTCTTGCTCAAGCACATCCGAAATGGAATTTGGCCACTTTAAAGAAACAGGGCGCCAATCGTTTGAAACACAAAGACTATCTTCAGCGATGGAAAGAAGATATTAAAAAAGGTGGAACGCGATTAGATAAATGGGAAAAAATCAATTCTGAAACTTTCGAACGTTTTAATGAAGCAAGATGCCGTTTGGAACAGGTACAAATATAAATGATTTTAAAATATAAGTTTATTGTACTTTCATTTTTATATCATATATATAATATAAATTTATAATATTTATATATATTACAAATTTGTTCCGATGTAATATATATTTTATGTGAATATACTTTATGTAAATATTTACAGGTTACTACAAGAACGTTACAGCAATGGGCGATGGCAACAGCTTTCCCTTTTCTTTCGGAAGACTTTAAGTTTCAAGCCAGTTCTACATGGGTAACAGTCTTCAAGCGAAAGCATAAAATAAAACAACGAAAAATAACAAAATTTGTAAGCAAACGAGACATCGCTACTTTGGAGGAAACTGTACAGGCTGCAGAAAAATTTCAGAGACAAACAAAGTGTCTGATTTCTAAATTTGATTTGGATTTTGTAATTAATACAGACCAAACAGGTTGTCAATACGAGATGACTTACAATAGGTCATTGGATTTTAATAGAGTTAAAACGGTATTTGTGCAGAAACAAAGTTTAAATAAATTAACTCATTCGTATACAGCACAATATTCTGTAACCGCGTCAGGCAAGTTGCTTCCACTAGTCTTTCTGTGCTTGCAAGAACCCACGAATAAATTTGGTCCAACAGTTTCCAAAAAATCCAAAAATTAACCACAGAATATAAAAATGTTGTGATCACTTGCTCTAAATCA